TATAATTAGAACTCCCAGGGAACCAGAGATACACTCAGGTGCCAACTTTTATTCTTCCTTTGCGAAGTTTATATATTTGTTTTAATAAACTTTATTTTACAATCTGAATTATTTATTGTTTTTAATATTTATTGTTTGAGTGTTGTACGCTACCTAGAGTTGTATTTTCTGAAATGGGCAGCCGTACAAATGTAAATGAATAAAAATAAAAAATATATCCAATTGAACTTTAAAAAAATCCCACCCAAAAGTTATAATTTGTATACCATAGCCTGTAACAGATGATATTATACGATGAGACCTAAATTAGGGATAATCTATCAATATACAATCCCCAAAGTACAGCTGTCTTAATTGTGGGCTATCCGAAGGCCTGCTACCCAAAGCGAGCTGAAGTATGACTACTGACTCATTCTGATCAAGTACAGAAGTACTTGATCACAAGTGACTAATACAGGATGGTGAATTTCTACAAAACTTTTGGTTTTAAGTAACAGACGGAATAATATACTTTTACAGACTAGTTGCCTAATATTGAATATATTGAAACATACTATTCCCAAAGCATCTCATATGGACTCATATTTATACCTATCAAGATGGCATGCTTCAACTAAATGAGATGTGTGTAGTATATTTAATGCTGTGGGCTACAGATAACCTTCGAGAAGAATGCAGTGGCTTGAAACCTGAAACATCACGAAGCAAAGTATAACGTAATTATAAATTAATTGGTATTTAATTAATTAATTATTCTTTTCTACTTCTTTAATCATAGTCCCTTTCTATATTCAAATGTAATTCAGTGACAATTTGAATCGAAGCCCAGAAATTGTACACATCTATGCCAAAAAAAGGATAAATATTTTGTTTGCACAAGTAAACATTTTGTTAAAGTTATTCTTTTCTATACCTTGTAGTAACAAAAATAAGCTTCAAAATATGCACACAAATGCTTCAAAGAAAGTTGATGATTTCCAATTAATCAAGGCAGGTATCCTTAACATAAATGCCTTCACCTCATCCATAATAGAAATAAGCAAAAAATCTATTTAAAACAGCAAAACCAGGTTTTGCCCCATATACATGCACCCACTTCAAATCAACTGCTCTTTCAATTCTTATGTACAATTAGCAGCAATATATCAGGTTTCTTTGCAGAAATGTTCTGCATACAGAAAAGGCTCTTATGCAAGATTACTTTTTTCTTTTAATTAAAATTGTAACATGTCAAATGAAAGTTAAGAAGTGTTTCTCATTGCTTACTAATAAAATGTATTCATTTTTATTTTGTTATGTTTTACAAGCTTTTAAAGTACTGTAACTTGTTTTAGAACAGAAGATGAGGGGTTTTTTAATTTAAAAAAAAGGATTGCTACCTGTAATTTTAGGATTTCTAGTTGATTGGTGTACTTGATCTTCACAATTTTTAAGGCATATAGTATTACAAATCTATAAATAGTTTCTGAAACTATTTGTCTCTGAAAAATGGAATATTTACAATACTTTGCTGAAATGTGATATCTGGGAGAAATCAAACAACTATGCAACCACTTATGCACATCTTAGAATTATATTTCTCTGATCTGATCCCCAATCCCCAGTCCATGGCATACCAATAACCAGTCTGCACAAACAAGTGAAGCCCCATCTGCAGGATGGAGGCAATACGTAAAACCACATCTCGTCCAGTCCGCAGAAAAACCTTTCTCCATGGAACCGGTCACTGGTGCCCAAAAGGTTGGACTTCTACTAACTCAAAATAAATATTTTATTCGAATTCTTAGGCATACTTTAATGTTATACTTTCAATTTTATTAAAAATGCATGAAACTTAATTACATAGTAAACAGAAAAATATTATGAAAATATTTGTTTTGAAATGTTAAAATTACTGCAAATCAGCTACCCTTACTCCTTTGTTAAAGTATCAAAACAGGAATTTTATAATTTTCTTACTTCCTTTAACAAACTCACAAGAAATCTTTTTAGCAATGATTTAACATTGCAGAATTATTTTTTGCCAGGTACCGATGGCTAATACCCAAACTATGTATAGTAGTCCTGAATGCATAATTCAGTATATGAGAACAAATACATATTTCTTTCACAAAACCACATAATACTGACAAATGTTTGTTTTCTTAATACATTAAACAGTTAGACAGTCACACATCTTTTAGCAACATCAGTCACTTGCACAAAAATAATCTTAAAGTAGTAGTCCTGATATCTATTTCCCATCTTTTTAAAGAGAGACAAAGAAAAATGAATCCAAACTGCTACATCTCAAATCCCATGCACATTCTCAACCCAGCAATCAAATTTTGCCATTTGGTTTAGCAGCCAAATATATTGATATAAGCCCAGAATATAAATTATGCATAGAAATGGCATACACAATTTCCTTTAAAAGACCCTTCTTACCCAAATCAGTCTTGGCATCAGTGTTTAGTACTTAGAATCTGCCAGGGACCATTATAGTAACTATAGACCTTGAACTGCCATTAAATCCTTAGCACCAACTGTTTTTCAATCCTGGTATATATCAGAAACAAGGTACTCCTATTGATTGAAAAAAGGAGACTGAAGCCAGGAATATCTAGCCAAACTTAATATCAACCCAATGGTAATGTGATGGTGGGATCGTTGTAAAGACCACTCAGTCAAATTAATTTCTAAACTACAGTCAAGCAAATTTCATGCTCAATAAGCATGTCCAAAGGTGCACATAGATGATTTACTACATTTCTCGTTGATCAGAAGTTGTAGCTTTTTTCACGCTGATGTCATTTATAGATACTAGGATCACAGTTTTTAGGATTTTCAACCAGCAGTACCATCGTACACATAAAGAACACCAGTCTGGAGCAGAATACAACCATAATAAACCTTACAAAGCCTTTCCAAAAAAGATTTGTGTATTAAATGTCCCGATGCAATTTCAACTTACATTTCACATGGTCCCTGAAAGCACATTAAATATTCCTGTGTCTTAGTCTACAGGAACTATAACTTCATCCCTACTTTGTAATTTCTTCAAGAAGCTTCTTGGATTAGAAAGAAAACATCTTCAGAGAAAAACAAGAAAGCTCAGTTACCTCTTGAAAAAGCACCTTTGGGACAACCATGACCTGGATGTCTGAGACTCTCCACAGACACCCTACACTGTAACCACTTAGAATTCCTAGTGAAAGCTAGGGACATTCTCCAAAATCACTAGTGAAAAACTAAGTATTTAACACAAAAGTTATGCTCTTGAACCTTTAAAAATTCACCTATGACTTGCCAGAAAATGTTCTAACCATTATTATTAATTGCATTTGCATTTTCAAGGTTTCTATGGAAAATAGTAAATATAAATAATGGATAATTTCACCACTCAGTGAAATTATGGTAATGTTAAAATTGTAAAATAATTTATGCAGTATTTCCTTAATATAGAAAGTACAGTATGGGCGGAGTATGTTATACAATATTGTCGTATTAATACTAAAATAGTCTGATGCGCAATTAGACAGAGAAATCCCAAGTAAATACAATTAATTAGGGGGGGGAGCTGCTCTGCAGCTTCTTCTTTTTTTCTTCTGTTTAACTGTGTCCAATTCTCAGACTGCCTGGACAAGTTCCTGCAGTTTTCTTGACAAGATTTTTAGAAGTTTCTTGCCATTGCCTTTTCCTTAAGACTGAGAGAAAGTGCCTGGTTCAAGATAACCCAGCTGACTTGTGCCTCAGGTAGTAGAACTCACAATCTCCCAGTTTCTACCTTTTGTAGTTTGATGCCTTAACCACTACACCAAACTGTCACTTGCACTTAAATACCTAGATTCACATTCAGTATTTGTCGGTGGCTTTTAAAAAGATAAATATACAGCTTTCTGACATCTAAAACCAATAAATGAAAAGTTAACAAATATAAAAAAGCACTTTGGGTTTCTTTGTCATTGATTCAGATTCAGTAGTCCTAGCTACAAAAGTCCTAGCTACAAATGATACCTAAGTTTACACAGTACATTTAACTGAACCAACTCCTTTTCTGTGTATGGACAGAATTACTACCTGAACATGAGGTTTGTACATCTATTTGGTTAAAGTTTAAAAAACAAAATTCCCCATAAACGATCTGCTATATTATCTCAGATATCATCCTGATTCATTATTACAATAATTCTGCAGTGATAAAGCACACAGACTTAAGCTCTTAACAATGTACACATGTGGCTGGTACAAATGTTAATGCATGTCTACAGTTCTAAGAGAACACTTCGAATTATTTAACAATATTTGAGATTTCATGTTAAGTTTACAATATTTGAGATGGATCTTTTAAAAAATTTTCCTGGAGAGAAATAATTAAACACCGGAGAGAAATCTTTTTTCTACTGTGTAAAGTAATACATTGTCAATGTCACTGGCATACTGATAACAAAGGCAAGACTGCTTTCTAGTCAGCAAAATAAAGAGGTGTCCTAGAAAGCAATACATGGACATATCTGCTCTTACTTCAGATCTACTTCAAAAACTGCAGTTTAAAAGCAAATCCTGTTGTACTAACTTTGAATAAAGAACTGGCCACCTCATTCAAGTTAAAGAGAACGATGGAGAACAAAATGGAGTTTTCATATCCAGGAATTGGAGATGTTCATCCCCTACTACAAAGCTTGAGGAAATGATCGTACACGAATAATTTAGGCTTTAAAAGAAGTCTATTTCTAAAGTTAACTTCTCTGAGAGCTGGCCCGACCTCTCCTTTCTCAACATAAAACAGGGATTCAGGCCTTTTCGAGAAGGCAAAGCGAGGATATCAGACTCCAGCCCCGAGATGCTGGAACCTTTCCTTCCTTCCTTCCTACCAATATCACAGGCCCCGCTGTATGAATCGAGGGAAGGGTCAGGACTCGGGGCTCCGGGGAGGAAAGGGAGGGGGGAGAGAAGAATGGGTGCCAAGGACGCCAATGGCTTGGCCTTCAAGGGGGAGCCTTTTTCTCAGCCTTTCTGACCTGTCCCTGGGGTCGATCCACGAAGTCTGCCGGGTGTTGTGGTCGATGTAAAAGACGCGTCCGTCGTAGTCCCTCGCCTCCTCCCAACCAGCGGGCAAAGGCAATTCCGAACTCTCCCGGCCTCGCGGCCCACTGCCGCCGCCACCACCACCTCCGATCGCCGCAGCGGGTGCGACAGGAGGCGGCCCCGTCCCTGATCCTCCGGGCGCCGCCGCCGCCGCCTGCTGCTGCTGCTGTTGCTGCCGTCGCCGTCTCCGTCCTCCGCTGAGCCACGGCATGGCTCCGCCGCCGCTCCCGGGCCGCAGCCTCGGCGGCAAGCGCTCTCCCTCCAGCAGCCGCTCTTCGGCCGCGGGGCTCCGAGTGCTCGGCGCCGCTGCCTCCAGCCCTGATTAGCGCGCTGCCCAGCCGCGTGAGGCTACAAACAGGCAGCTCCGGCTGCAGCAGCGCCTCCGCCGCTCCGGATTCACCATTCTCTCGCCCTCCCGCCTCCGGCAAGACACCGGGACCAGCCCAGCCGCTGCCGCCGCCTCAGCTGTCCCTTCAAAGCGGCCCTGGCCCCGTCCGAGGAAGCAGAGGCCACCGCAAGCTTCCCGCCCGCCCTTCCTTCCTTCCTGCCTCCGCCACCGGCCTCCCCTAGCGGCTCAACTTCGCAGTCTCGTCGGCTCCCATCCCGCCGGCGCCCGCCCCGCCATCTTCCTTAGCTCCCTCCCTTTTGCCCGAGAACAAACTGCCCCCGCCTCCGCTCCGCCCTTCTGCTGCTGCGGCTGCAGCTTCGGGAGGCCCGCTTGGAAACCGTCTGGGTTTCCCGGACAAGCCGGCGGGCTGGGGAGGCTCCCTCGGAAAGAAAAAGTTAAGATGTGGGGCTGGGAGGAGAATGAAAACTTTGCTTGAGCCTCTCCTAACTTCGGCCTTGAGACCACAGCGATGACTGACGGACGGGACTTTTTTAAAAATGGGAGACTCCGGGTTTCCTTTCAGGACAAAAGAAAAGCGGAGCGGTTGTTAAGCAACCCGCTTTCCTGACTATATGTGCAAGCGGGGATACATTTCTGAACCGAACAAAATATTGGCATCCTCTTAATCGAAGGTCTACTCTATACAAGTCACGCGAAAAGAGTGCTGCTAACGAGTCGACTGGTTTAAGGTGTGGTGCGCTTCAAATATACTGAAGGTAAAAGAAGTATGCCGAAGATGTGAACATGGAACTGTGGAACATGCAAAAGTCACGACTTCAGTTCGTGTAAGCTCAGTTAGGGATATTCTTTACTGCGGAGGCAGAAACACCTTATTACATTTTCAGCATATTTAGCTGTCAATTCAGTGGAATTTACGGTATTTTAAGTCTGTGCCTAAGGATGAAATTGCTACAGGAGTTGCTCTCACTTTTATTTCTTGAAGACTCATTGGTTGTTCCTTTTTTGGGAAAGCAATTTGGTTAAATGCATAGTGGATTTAATCTATTTCTCTTGTCTTAATAACTGGTTTTAGAGTGGAGCTAGTTCTTTAACAATCCAGTCCTTTGCTAAAGAAATTAGGCTGAATTTGTTTTTCTGAGGTGAAGAAGTAATAAAGTTTCCTCCTGTGTAACAGTATTTCTAAAGTATTGTACTTATTTTTAGACAGCCAGAAAAGGTTATTATTCTTCATGATAATTATTTAAGTATAGAGTTACAGTACTGTGCAAAAGTTTTAGGCAGGCGTGAAAAATGCTGTAAACAAAGAATGCTTTCAGACATATAAATAATGATTGTTCATTTTTGTCAATTTTCAAAATGCAAAGTGAGGGAAGAAAAGAAAAATCTAAATCACATCAATATTTGGTGTGACCACCCTTTGTCTTCAAACCAGCATCAATTCTCATAGGTACACTTGCACAAAGTCAGGGATTTTATAGGATTATAGTCAGTTGTATGATCAACCAATTATACCAAACAGGTGCTAATGATCATCAATGTGTAGGAGGCTTAAAACTGGGTGAGGAACAGCCAGACTCTGCTACCAAGGTGAGGTTGTGAAAGACAGTTTCATGGCATGGCAAGATTGAGCATAGCAACAAGACACAAGGTAGTTATACTGCATCAACAAGGTCTCTGCCAGACAAAGATTTCAAAGCAGACTGGGGTTTCAAGATGTGCTGTTCAAGCTCTTTTGAAGAAGCTCAAAGAAACGGGCAACGTTGAGGATTGTAGACACAGTGGTTGGCCAAGGAAACTTAGTGCAGCAGATGAAAGACACATCAAGCTTATTGCCCTTCAAAATCGAAAGATGTCCAGCAGTGCCATCAGCTCAGAACTGGCAGAAACCAGTGGGACCCAGGTACACCCATCTACTGTCCGGAGAAGTCTGGCCAGAAGTAGTCTTCATGGAAGGGTTGCAGCCAAAAAGCCATACCTCCGACGTGGGAACAAGGCCAAGAGACTAAAGTATGCCGAAAACATAGGAACTGGGGTACAGGAAAATGACAGCAGGTGCTCTGGACTGATGAGTCAACATTTGAAATATTTGGCTGTAGCAGAAGGCAGTTTGTTCGTTGAAGGGGTGGAGACCGGTATAATAATGAGTGTCCGCAGGCAACAGTGAAGCATGATAGAGGTTTCTTGAACATTTGGGGCTGAATGTCTGCAAATGGAGTTGGAGATTTGGTCAGGATTAATGGTGTTCTCAATACTGAGAAATACNTTTTTTTACACTTCCAACAATTTGGGGCCAGATTTTTAAACATTTTGGAGAGCCCTGCTGGGGGGAGATGCCATCTGTAGAGCATCTTATAAAGATTTTATTTATTCGCTGTAGCCATTGTTAGTTTCTGACTAAGTATCCAAAGTTTTTCCCACTTAGCCAATTCCACATTGTAACCAAAACTTTTCGCCATTCTATTAATGACAGGAGAACTATCCTGAAGTAGAAGAAAATAGGAATTAATGACAGGAACAAAATAGCGAACATAAAGGACTGTTTGTGCAGGAAAATGGAAACAAAATGTTCCAAAATAAATACCTGCACATCCCTAACTACTAAAAATTTAGTGATGCTTGCTGTGGTCTTAGAGCAAAGTAGCACTCAAGCCTGTTACCAATATTGTTCAGGTGAAAAGCTGAAATAAGTACCCCTATTTAATCATGTTTAAGTAATTGCAATTCAAATATCTGCTTAAAGTTTTATTAAATAGTCATTTTATTCAATGTAGGTAAACTTAAATATAAAAAGATTAGTTAAGAGCCTGGAAGGTATCAATAACTCAGATTTAAAAATTCAAAGTCCATATTTCCTTATAAACTACAACATTATTATGATGTAATGTATTTTTGGAGTATAAGACGCTCCAGAGTATAAGACGCACCTTAGTTTTTGGGGAGGAAAATAAGAAAAAAATCTGCCTCTGCCTACCAACATCCATCAGTATTCATCTGGCTAGCGTCCTGTCAGTGTGAGAGAGTACATACTGGCAGAGACATGGTAACAAGGTCAGTCAATGAATAGGCATAGCAACTAAGTCAGCCAATGAGGGCTGTTTGGAAACTGAAACAGTATTTGCTGGGTGAGCAAGAGCAAGAGACAGCAAGGAGCCTGGGTGTGGCTTAGGTTAACTTCTGTACAAAAGCTGCAAACTAGTCTGCAGCTCTGAAACTGAAACTAAAACTCCTCTCCTCTGCTTGTGTTTTGTTTGTATTTACTACCATGTTGGAAAATCTGCTTTTGGTATTGTAAAAGCAAAACAAAACAAAAGGAGAAATGTTTCCCCTTTTGCATTTGAGCATCCAAGAAGAAACAGAAAAGGAAAGAGGAGAGAACAAAAAAGAAAGATGGGAAGTGAGCAAAGAAGGAAACGGATAGAGGGGAAGGAAGAAGAAGGAGGGAAGAAGGAAGGAGGAAGGAAGATTATAATGAGAGGGAGAGAGGGTCTGGGAGAAGTCCTGCCTTAGCACTTGGCACAGGTGTCCCTGACACAGGTGATGCCAAGCTGGCCATATGAAGAATATATGCAATGAGAACATTAAAATATTTGTATAAATAATAACAAAAATACTTTGATAGAAATCTAAAACCTTTATAATATTTCTGTACTGTTTTTGGAGTAAAAATGCTTTTCAGTTTTCTGATAACCAGTATGTTTGAATTTTCAAAGCCATCCAAAGCTATAATTCTGTGCTGATCCTATGTTGTGTTTTCTTTCATAACTGAATCATAGTGCCGTTTTCCATCCAAATACAACATAGATTCTGAAAGAAAAGCACAAATGTCAAGTTTAATAAGATCACATGATCAGTTGGATGCTCAGGCCTTTATTATTTTTCACATTTTAAAAAAATATTAGTTTTCTTAATTTTTTAAGCCTGCTCTTTCCAGATAAAACAAATGTTCCTGTCTTTAGCATCATAAGAATGCTTAATTAGTGAAATGATTACTCACCACCATATGTCTTGGGAACAACATCTGGTATTTCCTTCTCTATCATAAATGTGAAATGAAAGACATTGGTTGTGTGGTGTACCCTGGTGTCTGGATCATAAACTTCACTATGAACCCGAACCTGGATGTTATTTTTTTCAGTATAACAAACCTTTAAAATTAAAAATTAGGATCAACTGGTTATTGGGTATAGAATTTCAAAAATGAATAAAGCATGCAATAAAATAAAGCATTTCATTACAGATAGTCCTCATCTATAACAATTTGTTCAACAATAGTTCAAAATTATGAGGATTGGTTACAACTGGTCATTGAAGTTCCAGCCATCCCAATGCCCCACTGGTCATGTGATCACAGTCTGGACACTTGGCAACTAGTTCACACTTCCAATTTGTTGCCAAGCTCCTCGCTATTACGTAACCACCATCTGCAACAAAAGTGCTTTTACAAGAGGCAACTGAACTTTCTGGTTTTTCTTTGAAGACGTTTCATTTCTCATCCAAGAAGCTTCAGCTTTGACTGGATGGTGGGGAATGAGAACAATCAACCAATGGAACAGCTTGCCTTCAGAAGTTGTGGGAGCTTCGTCACTGGAAGCTTTCAAGAAGAGACTGGACTCCATTTGTCAGAAATAGTGTAGGATCTCCTGTTTCAGCAGGGGTTTGACTAGAAGACCTACAAGATCCCTTCCAACTCTGTTAATCTGAATGGAAGGATTTTTACTCCTTGCAGACAGCTGGTCATTTGCATTCTTTTATTTAGAGCAGTGGTTCCCAAAGTGGGTGGTACTGCCCCCTGGGGGGCAGTGGGATGACAGCGGGCGCTAAGAGGCAAGGGGGCGGCAGGGGGGCGCTAAGAGGCAAGGGGGGCAGCAGGGGGGGCGCTAAGAGGGCAAGGAAAAAAAGATCATGTATTGTGTTGGCTGCAGAGGGCGTCGCCCCTAGGTTGGTAGCTTCCCCTTAGCTAATTCTCAGATGGAAAGGAGAAAGCTGCCGAGCAGAAGATGAACTGTTTAAAGCCCATCGGCACGGGCAGGAGGACGAAATTACCCAAACAAACCTGGAAATAGCTGGTTTCCCTTTAAGCAATGTCACCACCCTCCCCTCCAATCACCGCCTTCCTCCCAGGAGAGGGGTGCACACCGCTTCAATCACCCACACTGCAACACCGCCGGCGTCTTAACGACTGGCTTGGCTTGTGAAAAGTTTTTTTTTAAAAAATGGTCAGTGGGTGGGGAGATCATGCACAGTGTTGTTAGGGGGGGGGAACCCCACCAATTGAATTCTAGTTGAGCTTGCGAGAGAGCTCTTTGCCACTGTTTAAAAAATGGTCACATATTTCGTGCCATGCTTTTCCTTTGCATGGAGACACTGCTGAGTAAAAGTAACTGGGGGGAGGGGGTGATGAGCGGAAGTGCGGTTGCTCCCTTTTGGTGGTGTGGATTTTGGTTAGGGAGGTTTAGATTACCAGCAGGAGGGAGCTTGCATTGCAATCTTCCATTCCAGCCTTGGAAATACGGATGTTGTTAAACTCAAGGGAGCTTTCTTTGATATAGGTATAGTATACTATATGCATATATTACTATAGTATAGGTCAGGAGTCCCCAAACCTGGCAACATTAAGACTTGTGGACTTCAACTCTCACAATTCTCCAGCCAGCATAGCTGGGAGTTGAAGTCCATAGCTGTCTGGAGAATTCTGGGAGTTGAAGTNCACAGCAACAAGACACAAGGTAGTTATACTTCATCAACAAGGTCTCTCCCAGACAAATATTTCAAAGCAGACTGGGGTCTCAAGATGTGCTGTTCAAGCTCTTTTGAAGAAGCAAAAAGAAATTGGCAACGTTGAGAATCGTAGACGCAGTGGTCGGCCAAGGAAACTTAGTACAGCAGATGAAAGACACATCAAGCTTATTACCCTTCAAAATTGGAAGATGTCCAGCAGTGCCATCAGCTCAGAACTGGTAGAAACCAGTGGGACCCAGGTACACCCATCTACTGTCCAGAAAAGTCTGGCCAGAAGTGGTCTTCATGGAAGAGTTGCAGCCAAAAAGCCATACCTCCAACGTGGGAACAAGGCCAAGTGACTAAAGTATGCATGAAAACATAGGAACTGGGGTGCAGAAAAATGGCAGTAGGTTCTCTGGACTGATGAGTCAAAATTTGAAATATTTGGCTGTAGCAGAAGGCAGTTTGTTCGTCAAAGGGCTGGAGAGCGGTACAATAATGAGTGCAGGCAACAGTGAAGCATGGCGGAGGTTCCTTGAACCTTTGGGGCTGCATTTCTGCAAATGGAGATTTGGTCAGGATTAATGGTGTTCTCAATGCTGAGAAATACAGGCAGATATTTAACCATCATGCAATACCATCAGGGGGGCGTATGATTGGCCCCAAATTTATTCTGCAGCAGGACAACGACCCCAAGAATAGAGCCTAAGTCATTAAACACTCTTCAGTGTAAAGAAAAACAAGAGGTACTGGAAGTGATGGCATGGCCCCCACAGAGCCCTGATCTCAACAACATCGAATGTGTCTGGGATTACATGAGGATGAGGAGGAGCCAACATCGCGACGATACTGACATGCGGTCTCGATGCTCTGAGACCGCAGCCGATACTTTTGCTGCTGGGTGGTCCAATCGGACCTAAACTGTCCTGCAGAGATGGTGAACAGGAAGAATACATATTGCTGATCTCAGGGACATTGCAAAGTCCTTGATGGATCCAAGAGAAGTTCTTCAAGCCGGCGACAAAAAATCCAGCCATTAGGCTGATGAAGTCGTGGTGGCTCCAAAACAGAAGGATATGGAAAGAGAAAGTGTTTTCAGCTGGTGAGAAATTGTTGCCATTTTAAAAGAGACTGCCTATAAAAAACTTAAAATTAATTTAAATTGGAGAACAGAAGAAA